TTTCAACTATAAACTATAACTATTTTTCAGTAATTCATGTATGGAAAAGATAAGTGACAGTAAGTAATACTGGGCTAGAGCTACTTACTGCTCTAATGTGATATTAACTACATAATAGCAGTACAGTAGATACATTTCTCTAAGGTTTCTTTGCTTTTGAGTTTGAATTTTGTCTAAGAATTGGAATGCGTTAATCACATTCTGGCTTTTGTTTCTGAAAACTCATGTTTATTCAGGGAGGGCTTTTGTACAACTTACATTCCAGGGGTCAGGATTTATGAAAACATTACAGTATATGAGTAACTCAGTGTGAACATCCACCTACGTTTTAATATATTGCTTGGATTCCTTTGTTTAATGTATGACTTTGCTCTGTTACAAAAGCAGAAGATTCCTGGCATGTTTCTTTTACACTCCTTCTTTAGTTTAGGAAGACAAACGTTTGTTTTTGAGTTCACATCTCTGTTGTAATATAGTATTTTTGTCACTGCTCGCTGTGCCAGTTTCTGCTCTGTACTTGACACATCACTGTCTGAGGTGGTGGTGTACATCCCTTAAATAAGATTTGACCAGCGCTTTAAGGATGTTACTCATTCCATTTCATAAGTCTCTTCATGCTGGACTGCTGTGTTTAAAGTCAAACACAATCCTTAAGGCCCTAATTGGACTAAGAGATAAGACAAAGATAAGACGTCTCAAGTCCCTGGTGAGCACTTCTCTGGTAATTGACTCCTTTGTGTCTAAGGCCCATGTCTTAATTTAGATTTAGGCATTGGTAGAGACCCAGTTGAGTGACAGTAGCCCCACTATGCCGCATATTTGCTAGAGAACTTTAAACAAGGAAGAACAGATCAATGTGTAAGGACCCTCTGTGGTGAAAAATGTCATATACTGTACTGCAGTGCCCTGCAAAACTTTTCAGCCTCTTCCAGTGATGTCCCATTTTGTTGAATTCCAAATCATTTAGACATATATTTCAAAGTTAATATTTTTCATAAAAATTTAAATGTTCCAGCTGAGCACAAAAAATTATTGATTGCGTATGTATTCACTCCCTGCCTGCATTTTGTGGGAATCCTAACCCTAACCATAGCTAGGGTTTTGGCATAAGTTAGGGTTAAGGTTAAGACTTTCTTCAAAGACTTTCCATAATATTCCACTGATCTGAGTGGAAAATATACTTCGCTGAATCAAGATATTAGTCAGAAGCCACCTCACCGAACCAAACAGAATGTACAGTATCACTAATGATAAAAGTCTATTTTTGAGAAGTACTCTGTTATGGGAAATTTCATGTTCATGTTGGATGGTGTTTTCAATGAGCGTGGTTTCAGGCTTAACTAGGCAAAGAGTCAGGAATACTCAGTCAGTATTGGCTTCATTTGTTAATATCCCTGTGCATTCAATGCAAATCCAAGAGTTTGGAAACAATAATCACTTTCTTTGAAGTTTTTGCTTTTAATAATTAATAATAATTGCTTACACTTATATAGCCCTTTTCTGGACACTCCAATCTAAGCGCTTTACAGGTAATGGGGACTCCCCTCCACCACCATCAATGTGCAGCATCCACCTGGATGATGCGACAGCAGCCATAGTGCGCCAGAATGCTCACCACACATCAGCTATCAGTGGGGAGGAGAGCAGAGTAATGTAGCCAATTCATAGAGTGGGATTATTAGGAGGCCATGATTGGTATGGGCCAATGGGAAATTTGGCTAGGACACTGTTGGTTAGGGACTCTTGAAAGGCAGCAATTTTCAAGTCTTTCCACAGATTTCCTTCATGTCCTATCAGATTTAAAGACAGAACTTTTTGTGGGATTGGTAAGAAGCAGCCTCATAACATATTGCTGTCACTGCCATGCTGGACAGGATTGATGGTGCTGACTGGTGATGCACTATGCTGAGTTTGCATCAGATTAACACTTTGCATTGAGACCAAAAGCTCCAATTTAGTCTCATCTAGCAACAGAATCTTTCTACCATTTGCGGTATCAATGAAATGCTTTGTTGCTGTTTTGTTTTCAGTAGTGGTGTGCTTCTTCCCACTCTGCCAAACAGGCCAGCTTTGTGGAGAGACCGAAATATTGCTGACTCAAAGTCACTTTCTTCCATCTCAGCTATTGAACTCTATAGCTGTTTCAAATTGGCATCCCTAACCAGTGCTCTTGCCTGGCTGCTTAGCCTGGGGGTGGGGGGGTTAATGATTAAGCAGAACAAGACCCACGAAATCTTGCTGCCCTCTTTCTGTACTGGAACCCCAGAGAGTATGCTATCATGGGAAGGAAGTCAACAGGTGTTTCCATGTGAGGTGAGCCTTGTGACTGAGAAATGGTAGTCATGTTCTTGGTGTCTTTGTGATTGTGGAGACAAAGGTCAAAGGCCATAGAAAAAGTAAATGTTAAATGGCATTGTTCTCTGAACTGCAGTCAGGGTACCCTGTAGTGCTGGGTAAAGTGTCACACTTTTGACAGTTTTCTGTGGTCAATTTGCATGTTGTCATTTTTTGTCATGTTTTCTTGTCCTTGACCTTAATGGACTTTAATGATTCATCCATTGATCAAGATAGAGCTGCACCAGTGCTTATTGGCACACCAGCCTCCTGTACTACCTCTTCTGTTTATGGGATATTTTTCTTTCTGGATATCATATTGCCATCTACAGAAGATTATCCCTGCTGCCTGTCATTCCTGGTGATTTCACTCTTAACCTTAAGCTCCTAGTCATTTTCTTCTTTGGCTGAAATGGATGAGATGGGATCCATTAGTGATCTCATTTCCGCTTTTTGCAGCATAATGTCCCTTTCATTTCCTCTGATCTAAACATTATGGAAAGAGAGATATTACAGACCACCATTTGATGAAACGATCTATTGGCAGTGAACTCCAACAACCCACCTCTTTTGATATTTTGTGATTTTTTATATTACTTTTACAGTAGGCCGTTTCATACAGTATTTCAAAGTGAATTCTTAATCATTTGTTGATATTGTATTTACAGCTGTTTGTCTATGGTTTGCGTATAAGCATTTTTTCATAAGGGGATAGTAAATGATTTGTTAATAATAAATCATTTCCTTATGGGCAGCTATTAGTGTTACTGAATTTAGAAAAAGCTACCCGGAATAAAAGTTCTTGCTAAGTTAAGTTACAACATTTTTATTATTTTTTTAATTTTGGATGGTAAAAGCTGGAGACCAAGCAGTCCTGTATTTGTAAGGAAAAGGGTGTTTAACTTTAATCATCTGTGTTTTTGTGCTCTGTTGTTCATGTTCATCAATGTACAACAAACTGATCTTGATCTGTCATCCCAGTGTTATTTTTGTCTAATGCTAGCTCTGACAGCTGCTTTTCATTTAGAAATTCCCTGAACAGATGAAAAACAGGAAAGTAGGACGTTCATTTTTTAATTAACAGACAACAATTCTTTTATTGCCAGTGACACTGTAACTAATCACAAACTGAAGTTAATTAGTTAACTTGTGGTTATTCAAACTGTTGCACATGTATGCTGAATGAAGTCATTAATTATTTTGTTAACCAGTATGTCCTATATCCTTTAAAACGAATGTATATACAGTAGCCACAGACGAAAGAGCAGTGTTAAAAGAGTACACACATGTGGTCCCTAACTATGACTGCAGTAAAGATTGTGTACAGTTGTTTTACGGATATGATGTTTTTACAATGTGTTCTGTTTTTTACAGATAAGATATATCATAACTACAGCATGTCAATCTAGTTGATGGTATCCACATTGAACAGTTGCATTGGTGAAATTAATTTTATTTGGCTTGCCTTTAAATTTAGTATACTGTATGTTTAAGTCTTCTTCCAAGTGCTGTAAAAGCAGCCTTATTTTACGAGCAGGTTTTAAGCTGAACGTCAACTCAGTCTTCGATATTTAGCAGAAGCTTTCTTTATTTTCAAAGCAAAGTGTTGAAAGTCAGCATCCTGTCCAGGCCCCTAAATTCCCTCTGGCAATGAATCTTAAAAGGCATTGCCAGGAAATAAAATCTGTGCTCTTGATTCTTAGTGGTATTAAAGTGTAGCTCAGTAGAAATGAATGGGATGATGAGTACTCACTGGACACACGCTACAGATCAAAACTCTGAAAGCTGCAAATGTTATAAGAGGGGAACTGAGTATGATAACAATATTGCTCATTCTTTGTCACTCAGACTTACTCATATCCTGGCGCCATAGTGAAAATAACAGTCTCTCCATTAATAATGCTATTAAAGCTGTAATTGAAAAGCTGTAGAACTAGGAAGGATATTTGTCGGATGCTTCCTTTTTGTGATTCTGCAGATGATGGTTATGACTGTATATACAGTATACAGTACAGTAGTAACTCAGGTGACTGATGTGAAGAGGTTAAAGTGGTACCATATACTCCAGTTTCTTTATGTTATTTGGAACTTCCAAAATTCTGATTTGTAATATACAGTATCTCATTGAAATAAAGGCTGCATGAAACCTGCATGCTTCAGACCAAATTTATTTTGTATCGTATATAATGAACATTAACAGTTATTTCAAGCAACTCACAGACAATAACCTCCTTAAATATATTTTGTACAATACAGTACTATAAAGGAAACTGCCATTTTCAAAGAGCAGTACTTGTAAGTTTTTGGTTTACAAATGCTAATGACTACAAATTCAAAATTCAGAGGTTTCAAAAACAACTTTTATTATAAGACCTTATTAGAATGTCCTGTCACGAAAGAGAGCTTCAGATTTTTAGTGTCTATGCTTGGCTGTGCCACAGTTCAAAATTCTAAACCTACAAGACACCAAGAATAAATGTGTTAATTCTGTTCCTGGGAACCCTGTATACAGTATATGTAAAATAAATATTGAATGTTTTCACTGAAAAATAAGCTTGTGAAATGGAAATAGAGACTTACAAGTGAGTGAATTAGTACCTATTTTGTTTTTTAAGGAAGCCTATCGCCATATGTGAACAACCTTTGACCTCTTCTTTCTTTTGCAGTTCTCAGTGTCGTGGCTCAGGAACTGCCATCTGTGCCTCATGGCTGTACAGAGGGAAGCTGTTACCCAGCAACCGGTAACCTGCTCATTGGCCGAGCTAGAGACCTGACAACAACCTCCACCTGTGGCCTGCAGAGCCCAGAGCACTATTGCATCGTCAGCCACCTGCAGGTTAGAGCATCGCTGTTGTTCAGAGCCTGGGGTACACACAGCACTGGTGCCTATGACTGATAGGAGGCATCAGAAGGAAGTTCAGACAAAATGGGAAAAATCCAACAGATCTGATGGAAGGGTGAAATTTTGTTAGTCTTTTCTCTATGTGCTCCCTAACACTCTTCTCATCCTCATCAACAAGGAAGAATGCTAGGTGTTTGGTCTTTCAAAGGGTTGGCTTTCAATGTCAATAATTAGTTGCAGCCTGCTTCAGGTTACTGGAGATAAATTTGTCTTTGTTGTTGTTATTTTATCTTGGATTTCTCACGGTTTGGAGGTTTAGATGATATGCACTGTATTATCATTACAGTTTTTCTTTCAGAAAGGCAGGCATACTGTGCACCTGACACCCTAGACAACACAAATTAGGGGGGGGAATATGGTTCTGAAGCAGAGAGCTGTAAAGCTCCTATCTCTGAGAACTACAGTATGTAGGTACTGCATGTTTCATCAAAACAGCTTGTGGCTGATAACTTAGTCCAAGTTACTGTGACCGAATGGAATACAGCCTTGGACCACAGACTAATAATACTGAAAGCTACCATAAAAGTTGAATAAGGCATCATCAACATCATCAGGGTTTAACATTATTGTAGAATCTACCACAAAATGATGATGATGGATTCCTACAATGGCACAAAAGGAGATATCAAGTTATCAGTTCCCTTTTCTGTGTTTCACTATAGCCTCATATAGCATCGACTGTAGTTACTTTACTGTAGTTGTTTCATTCAGATCTCATTGTCTTTCTGTGTTTGACCTGAAATGGTCCATGCAATTGTGCATTTCTAGTTTAACCTTAAGAATTTCTCGTGATTTCCATTGTAGCTTGCTGTAATGTTTTGTGCCTCCTCAGAGCAAACAGTAAAGACTTTAATATAAAGAGCTGCATTCATTCCTCTAATAGTTTCCTTTCTTTTGCCACATAGGAGGGGCTGTGAAAAATTTGCATTGAGAAAACCTGAATCTGAAGCGTCCATTTCTGTGTGTTTTAGTCCTATATGTGACATTACCAGGTGCTGTCCTTGCTGTTTGCTTTTCTTCCTCAGTATGTTAAGGCTCTGTAGATGCTTGATATCCGTCACCCCCACAAGTGACTGAGGATTGTGTGCTAAAACTTTAAATCAATTTAAATCAATGCTTCTTTCACAGTGGTCCTGCCTTCCAGATCCTCATACTATATAGGATAAAAAAAACATTTTTATTTTTAATCTCTTGGATATTTAATCTTTCATTCTTAAGTGTAAAAAAATTAGACTTTTCAAAAAGTTCAGAACAAAACTCTACCAAGATGCTCTCTTTGTTTTTGTTCCACCAACCAACTTTTTTAAATGAACATACTGTATGCATTGAACATCCAACGTGGAGCTCTTTTGTATTTTATTTGTATTTACAGTATATGAATGTATGCTTGTTTTACTTTAAGGGAGCAGAAAATCACTGTTCTGGCCACCTAAAAAGCTGAGAGAGAGGTAGACAGCAGCACTAGTTTGCTGTAATGCTGTTTGGCTTTTGGCTCTTTTAGAATTTTGCTTCTGAAGGAAGTGGGATTTTGTTTCTCTGTCCTGGCATCTCATCTGCAGCCTTCAAAAAGATCTTGCAATTAAGTCAAATGTAGGGTAAATTGCTCTATACACCTGTGTTGTTCATGTATGATGGCAGATTTTTTATATTGGAACAACAGATGGTTGTAAGTCAAGGCTAACCAACCTTTCAAAACCTTTTTATGTTTCTGATAGAGGAGAATCTAGCAGATAAATATCTGCTTTCTTTTTTAAAACAAGCTTTAATCCTCTTTTTTTGTTTCCTCAATGCTCCATTTGACTGGTTTTCCAGGTTGTTATTGTTTGCAATGTTTTCCACAGTTTTTGTCCTGCCCTGCTTCTAAAGTTACTCCAAGTAACCTACTAAATCGCTTTATGCAGCTAAACTTTAGTAATCTTTTTGTTGACTGCTTCAGTTAAAATAATACAAAGAGGGGTCTTTCTTAGTTTTGTCAAATTCTTAACCCAGTTTATGGGCTGGAACTAAATCTGTAATCACTACTGATCTAAAGTGGTAACTTTGAGGAATTTGTAATAAAGCTTGGTGCTGTATTGTGAACTGAGATTATGATCTTGTTATTTGTGGACTGGTAAAGGATATGGGTTTTAATTCCACATTAGAGATACAAGCAAACAATATAAACTTAATAAATTATTGTATCTCTTAAAAGAACATGTGCTTTAACTCACTCTTACTGTGCTGCTTTATATGTACAGGGTTAATAATTTTCAATTATAGGTACATTTTGTGAAAGAAGATTGGAAGAAACTGTTATAAATGTGTTAGAAACTAAGACACTCTCTCAAAGTGAGCTTGCATTATGAAATGATGGCAGTCTATTGAGGTAGAGCAGTAAGAGAGGACGTGAGAGGCTTTTGAAGCAGAGCACAACGTTTAAACTTCAAATCTCTGTTGATTTCTGCCTTGAACTCTTTGAACTGGGTTGCTATGGGAGACGTCTTTCACATGACAGCAAAGTTTCTCAAATGCTTGGCATTTTTTTCTGTTCCGACCTCCTGTGATTTTCCCAGTAATCTGTAGGGCTGAGCTCCCTCTGGCTGGCACAGGCTATGTGTCCAAGTTAACTCTTGACCTCTTAGACTGCATCCTAGAGTTTCTTCAAGATGCAAGATATTAGATTGTTTTTCTTCCTACATTGATGCTGCAATCTGGACAGATAAAATAAACTCCTTGATCAGTTTCCTGAAAGGTGCATTAGGTAGGTTCTTGGCAGACTTCTATCTCCACAAAGATATCTGTCATTTCCATGTAGTTGTCATCGATTCTACAACAGATGAAGGATATAAGAGCTGTCAGGGTTACAATTAACCCCACCATCACCACTAACACAATCCACAGGGAAACAGGAATGTTGATGAAGGGTATCATCAAACTGTTTCCCTTTTTCAATTTTTTTTACTGAAGCAACACTTAAAATTGAAAGCAATACAATGATTAAGATCATACCAAGATCAGTTCTGATATCACCCGAAACTGTAGGTTCTGGGATCAGAAGGTGAAGTCCTGCATTTATAGCTTCCACAAACTCTTATTTGTTGGCTACAATGTGTTTTCCATGGCCTTTTTGGAGTTTTCCCAAACCTTGTGCAATTCCATTTACATGGTGAATTAACCCAGTCTAATTTGTTCATGATACACAGAAATAAAACTACAGCTTTTAAGAAATGCTTATTCTAGACTCATGGTTCGATTCCACAATGTTAATCTCTGTTGTTAAAGCTGATTTAGGAATGACCTAATTTTATTTTTATATCATGTCTCTTTATTCTTAAACTACATAGACCCAATTCTTATATTTAGGTGTCCGTGTTTAAATGGAAAGTAATGCTGTAATCACTGGACCAGCTTTAATTGTTTTTAATCTCTGCCAAGGATCCGTGATGCTTCAAAGACATGGATTTATAGAGAAAACTCACTACATTGACTTAATTCAATGAATCTGTATTTGATCATAACAAAAGTATATGGTGAAGTGAGTCAAGACAATAGACAGATCCGCCTAGTTTGACCTCAGAATTCTGTATCAACTGATGTGGATTTCACCTTCACTTAGGAATCAGACAAGTGTTTCCTGTGTGACTCCCAAAGGCCATACGACCCCATCTGGCACAGGAACAGCCATCATGTGAGCAACGTCATCTACCTACAGGACCAGAATGGGGATCTTACCTGGTGGCAGTCAGCAAATGGTGAGTGCTTAAACTGTTTCCAAGGAATGACCCCCTAATCAGCAGTGTCAAAATACAATATAGTGGAGGTACTGAGGCTGAGGTCTCTGATGTTATTTGTGACTCTATGCAATGCTGCAGCAGCAGTTGATTGTAATGTAATTGCAGTGCTTATGTACCTATTGAAAGTCATCAGCTCGTGACACAGATGAAAAATGAGGATCAATGTGCAGAAGACACAATGTTTGATAAAGCTTTATGTTAAATGCTTTTAGATACTGAATTTCCTGGGAGTCATTTTTTTCTATACAAATTTACAGCAGGTTTTTAAAATATTGACATTACATGTGGAATGTGAATACCATAGCCATTTCGATTTAAATAAGCCATAAAAATGGATTTAAATAAGGTTAACACCATTTCCTTTTGTAATCAGAGTTGCTGAAGATTTAACTTGTCCTGTCTTCCAGGAGAAGAGAATGTCAGCATCCGATTGAACTTGGAAGCAGAGTTTCACTTCACGCACCTCATAATGAAGTTTAAGGTACAGATCGTGAAAACCCCCACTTGAGGAGAAAGCTAAATCTTGTAGCTCTGGGGAAGTTAATGGGACATACAGGAGCAGAAGTCTGTTACCTTATCTGCAGGGGCCTCGTTAAGGAAGCAAGTCACACTGTGAATTTTGTGAATCTTTCTTCTTTGATATTAACTCCTTACACTTATAAAGCGGTTTTCTGGACATTCAGCTCAAAGAGCTTTACAGGTAATGGGGACTCCCCTCCACCACCATCAATGTGTAGCCCCCACCTGGATGATGTGACGGCAGTCATAGTGTGCCAGTCCTCTCTCCACACATCAATTATCAGTGGGGAGGAGAACAGAGTGATGTAGCCAATTTATAGATGGGGATTATTAGGAGGCCATGATTGGTAAAGGCCAATGGGAAATTTGGCCAGGATGCCGGGGTAACACCCCTACACTTTTCAAGAAACACCATAGGAATTTTACTGACCACAGAGAGTCAGGACCCCAGTTTTACGTCACATCTGAAGCGCCTTTTTACATTTTTTACATTATAGTGTCCCCGTCACTATACTGGGACATTAGGACCCACACAGACAGCAGGGTAAGCTCCACATACTGCCCCCTGTAATACCTCTTTCAGCAGCAGCCTTAGTTTTTCCCAGGAGTCTCCCGTCCAGTTACTGACCAGGCTCACACCTGCTGAGCTGCTAGTTGTGAGTTGCAGGGTGACATGGCTGCTGACTTGTAACATCTTGTGTTGAAGTATTGAAGAGATTATAAAGCTATTATGCAGCAACATTTAAATGAACCATTATTGAAAGGGCTTGTGAATCATTCCTGTTGTTTGATGCTCTCCAGACATTCCGCCCAGCGGCCATGCTGATTGAGCGGTCGGCGGATTTCGGGCGCACGTGGAAACCGTACCGCTTCTTCTCCTACAACTGCACCAAAATGTTCCCCCGTGTCCCGGCGAGACCCCTGCAGCTCATCGATGATGTCATCTGCGAGGAGCGCTACTCCGATATCGAGCCCTCCACGCTGGGGGAGGTGAGAGAGCACCTCCGGAGTTCCGCTCCCTCCCTGTGGCCATGAGACGCACACGGAGCTTTCTAAAGTCTTTCTCTCTCTCCCACCACAGGTCATTTATAAAGTACTCGACCCTGCCATTGACGTCAAAGACCCCTACAGCCTGGAGATTCAAGGTAAGGGAAACCCCTAATACAGATCTTAGCTGAACCCGTCTATCCATCCAACTTCTAACTGCTTTATCTAGAACCGAGGTCGCAGGAGGAGCTGGAGCCTATCCTGGCAAACATTGGATGCAAGGCAGGATACACCTTGGACAGGACACTAGTTCATCACAGGGCACACACACGGACACAAATGCTCGCAGACTCATGCCAGAGCCAGTTTTTCCAGAAGCCAATTAACTTACCAGCATGTCCTTGGGCATGTCTCTGAGCTGTGAGTGGAAGCCTAAGTACGCAGAAGAAATGGAGGAGGTTCATACGAATTCCACGCAGACAGTACTTCAGGAGTTGAGGTAGAGCTACATCGAAGCAGTGCTAAAGACCGAACCACCATTCTGCCTTGAACAAATATAAACGATAACTTAATAGTTATGTTCATGCCAAGATATTTTACATTGTGAAGGAACTTATTTGTCTTATTTGAGCTTAATTTATAGATTTGCTGAATAGTGGAATTAGCAATGTGTGAGCCAGGCAAGTAATGGTCATAGGGCTTTGTGAATAAAGCACTCAAAATGATCACAGAATAGGTAGATAAATATGCTTACAATTTTGCAATGTATGGGTCACGTGCAAGGCTTGCAATCCAGTTCAGGGGACTGATCTAGTTAGATCTGCAAGTATCCTGCCTGTATCTATAACATCTTTTGTTAAGAAATCTTTTGGAGACACATAACCCAGACGTAAACATCAAGAACAAGTCTTAACATGAAACCATAAATATCTGCAGAGTATTAATTCTGTGGATGAATGGCTTATTTCCTAAACTCTCCAGCACAGCTGGGCTGCAGTTGGAGTCAGAAGACTGACGGAAAATACCAGTTAACCCAATTAGATTAACTAATTCTGTGCCATGTCGACAGAGAAACACGCAGTTCTTAGTTGGTGGGTGGTACAATGCATATTAAGCACACCTCCATTGATGGGTATATGGGAGGTAAAATTGTCTAATACTATATTAGCCCCAGTTTGCAGTGCCCTCCTACCCTTCTGCCTTTTCAGAGCTCCTTCGGATAACCAACCTGCGGATCAACTTCACCAAACTGCACACACTGGGGGACAACCTCCTGGACAGGCGCACGGAGGTGCTGCAGAAGTATTATTATGCCCTCTATGAGCTGGTGGTGCGTGGCAGCTGCTTCTGCTATGGCCATGCCTCAGAGTGTGCCCCCATCGCTGGGATCACTGCCACGGTGCCAGGAATGGTGGGTAAACATTCCTCTGGCCCATCTCTCAGTATTTTAAAACTACAGCATCCTAAGTGGCACACAAAGTGAACAGGGGGGGAGTTCTGTTGAAGTGAAGAAGAATGAACAATGACATTGAAGGTGTGACATGATCTTTTCTTAAACAGCCAGCTAAGCCACTTTCGGTGTTTTTGCAGATTCATGGCAGATGTGTCTGCAAGCACAACACCGAGGGTTTAAACTGCGAGCAGTGTAAAGACTTCTACAACGATCTTCCCTGGAGTCCGGCTGAGGCAGACAACCCACACACCTGCAGAGGTGAGACGCAGGGAAGAGTGCCCACGAGGCCTGGAGATTCGCAAGTGTTCCCAGGTGTCAGCCGATGATTGCCCATCAGGGAACAGGGCCGCGGGGGAGGTGGTGGCTATCCCGGCAGGCAATGGGCACAAGGCAGGATCCACTCTGAAAATAAAAAAAAAATAAGTTACTCATATTATTGTGGTTTTTATGAGATTGTCTATGTTTGCAAGGATGACTTCAATTACCAAATAAATAAAATTCAGTAAATTAAGGCTGATACAGTTTAGCTTAAGCATTCAGATGTGATGCAAACTATAACATTTATTTTTTTACACCTGCAAGATTTTATTTATATTCGTGAAGATTTATCTTACTAACCGTTAGTTGAGTTTTCAAATAATGATGTAAAAATGAATTCCACAGAACTATCGCAGAGTAGATATAGTATCAGGGTACATAAAAAAATACCTAAATTAATCCACCCTTTAGGTTATCCCTTAAATGTTCTTATGGTCTGAGGCTGTGGCACAAAGCTGCATACAGCAGTACACTTGACACAATACAGTACCTTTAGTAAGAGAAGTAGTTTCTTTACTTCAGACTTCATACTTTAAGTGAAGGAAGAGCACAATAATGCAGACATGAAAATGTACATCATTGGATAGCCCTCCATATCAGCCTGTGTATTCTAAAACAAAGATTCCTGATTATGGTAGCCTTCCTCTAAATTTTAATCGTTGTTGTTCTGTTCCCAGAATGCAACTGCAACGGTCACTCCAGCCGTTGTCACTTTGACATGGCGGTGTACCAGGCCACAGGGAATGTGAGCGGAGGCGTTTGTGACGACTGCCTCCACAACACCATGGGCCGCAACTGCGAGATGTGCAAACCCTTCTACTACCAGGACCCCCTGAGAGACATCAGAGACCCAGCTGTCTGCATACGTGAGTGCTGGCCCTTGTGAAAACAGCAAGCGTACTGTAGCTATAGAACTGAACAACGCACTACTAATCTACATAAAATAAAGTAACTGGCAGGGGAGCCCAGTTTTCAAAAGGTAAACTTAGCTTCTTAGGAAAAGGAGTCTTTTTTTGCTAATTTTCTGGATAATAATAATAATTGCTTACACTTATACAGCGCTTTTCTGGACACTCCACTCAACACACTTTACAGCTAATGGGGATGCCGTCCACCACAACCAATGTGCAGCCCCACCTCGGTGATGCGACGGCAGCATTAGTGCGCCAGAACGCTCACCACACACCAGCTTTCAATGGGGAGGAGAACAGAATGATGAAGCCAGTTCATACAGTAGATGGGGATTATTATGAGGTCATGCTTGGTAAGGGCCCATGGGAAATTTGGCCAGGATACCAGGGTAAATTAAAATGCGGTCAGTGTTAGCCCTCCCATGGCTTTTTAGACACTCTACATGCAGCCATGCAAGGTATTTGTTTTTACCAGAGACAAATAGCAGCTTTCTGCGTCACAGATCTTTCAGCTGTGTCCACTTTGTAATCAGCCGTCACTGACTTGTGTGTTGCTTGACGACTCTCTCCCCTCGGCAGCGTGCGACTGTGACCCTGTGGGCTCCCTGGACGGCGGGGTGTGTGACAGCCTCACGGACCTGGACATCGGGATGATTGCTGGCCAGTGCCGCTGCAAGCAGAACGTCAAGGGCACCCGCTGCGACTGCTGCAAGGAGGGCTTCTACGGGCTCAGCCAGAATGACCCCCTGGGGTGCCAGCGTGAGTGAGGGACAGGGCCCTGAGACAAGCCTGTTTGAGACTGAGCTCATTAGCGAAGGAACGCACGCCGCTGTTGGATTTAAAAAAAAACAAACAAACCACTCAAGAAATGAAAATAATATTGTGATTATAACATGCAATTATTCCTAGGCAAAGTGAGCACGATATTAAATTTTGTGAAAGTGCTGTAAGTCATGTTGTTGCAAACTCGCATTTGATTTCCAACAAACTGCGATGAGATGCTGCCCTTCCTGCTCACTAGTCACTGTGATGCCTAATGTGATGCAAGTGCGAATAAGTGCAGGTTGTGCAGCAGATGCAGTTGTGCCGCAGAAATGTTACAAGGTGATCTGCATGCAGAACAAGTAAGCAGCATTTGTTCGCAAAACTGTCTAAAAAAATCAAGAGCAATATTGCTATTGGATTAATAGAGATGGATTCAAACACCTGCTTCTTTACAATGTAATACGGTCGGTTCACATCACCGGAAGTTTTTTTGCCTTGTTCTGAACTGAGAGTATGGCATTGCACATACCTGGAAATGTAGTCTATTTTGTGATATAAATTGAGGTTTTACAAGGTACTGTACTGTGTACTGTGTTTTACTTAAGTTGTGGTTTGAAATGCTCTCATTAATGCTGATTCTTTCTAACCGTGAACTATAAAAATAGCTTTGCACTTCCCTTTTAAGTGGTTTTTGTTTTCGATAATGGCAGACCAAAACGGCTAGAAAGCATGCTTGTTGTTTCAGAAGAACTCTGAGTTGCATCAAGTTTCTGAATTGTTCTCAGGTAATGCTGTCATAGTTATAACTACAACAAATTGAAAGTGTAAACCCTCCAGCATCCCACTCGATTTGTGGAATTGAGTATAACATTGTAACACTCCTGTACAGAAGTTCTGAAGGTAATTTTGTGTGCTTCATATATATTCCCAGCATGCAACTGTGACCCTCGTGGAATTATAATGGGAGGAGCCCCGTGCGACCAGATCAGTGGTGACTGTTCATGTAAGCGGTATGTCACAGGCCGCTACTGCAACCAGTGTCTGGTAAGCTCTATATGCAGTTATATACAGTACTTGATAAGTTTCAGGTTAATGGGAACCAGCTGTGTTATCCTTCACATTATGTTGACATGGATTGACAGTAAGCCCAGGATATGCCAACTCAGTGATTCTGATTCTGATTCAGTCCAGCGGGACAGGCCTCTGTGTCCACACAGATTTCATATGTCCACTTAAAAGGACAATTATAGGTATAGTCATATACTGTAGGTACAGTCAGGATACAAGCATCTAAAAGAGTGCTCTATTCACTCCAGGAACTAATTTTATCCTTTAGCTTGTAAAGTCTGGCTTCAGAGTGAGTTATGTACAGATTGAGATGTAGAGGTACAGAACAGTCATCATCTGCTTTGTAATCTTTTAGCCAGAATACTGGGGCCTCAGTAACGACATTGCAGGCTGCAGGGCTTGTGACTGTGATTTTGGAGGAGCCTACAATAACAGGTACAGTATGTCGCATATAATTAATGACCAGACAAAGCTGAGCAAATATACTGTAGCAGTGCATTGTTAGAAAACATAGCATTGTTAGAAAACAATATCCTGTGGTAAAAGTCAATTTGTCATGATGATTATAACTACTGATTGAATTTGGCTTCTCGGATGAAACCTACACCGTAGGTTAATACAGCTTTGAAAAAAATAGTCTCTTAAAAGGAGGTTTGTAAGCTAACGTCATTGAAATAACAGGCACTAAAGCTCAACAGGAGCTTCGTAGAAGTCGTTTTCCTGAGTTTGAACAGCTGAGAATACAGTGTAGCGGCCACTGGACCTCCTCTTGACCAAGCTGGGAAAAGATAAGCAAGATGTGTTGTCCTTGACGAACATCTACCTCTTCACCTTTCCTGTGTGTTCGGACATCAGGTGCCTGATGGAGAATGGACAGTGTGACTGTCGCCCACACATCATTGGCCGACAGTGTGC